CCCCCCAACACACACACATACACACATACACACACACACACAAATGCACCGGTGCAATAAGAGAGACACAGAGAGAGGGAAGGGGGATGGCACATTCATCACCTGTGTCGAGGCCCAGGTGGGCGATGAGGTCGATCTCGCCAGTCTCTTCCACCCTATCCGCCATCTCCGTGCAGATCTTCTTGCGCTGCTTCCACTTCTTGACCGCCGCGCTGTGCTCCGCTGTGATGCGACACACCTCCTCGGCTGATGGCAACTCGGACGACTGACAGACAGACATCACACACATGGGTGGAGACGAAGAGAGAGAGGGGGGATGGTTGCCCTGCCTGCTGTTTGAACAGATTTTCGAAGTATTCCTTCTCCTTGTTGAGCTCGGCAGACTGCAGACAAAGAAGCGTACACACACACACACACACACTCCAATCGTCTCTGTGGGTGGATGGGAGGACACGAACCCACCTTGAATGCGACTTGTTCGAGTCTGTTGGCGACCTCCTCAGCCGGCAACTGGCCCTCATACGTGCGATACTCTGACACACACACACACACACACACATCCATCCATCCATGTGTGTGGGGGCGGTGTGTGTGTGTGCGTGTGTGTGTTTGTGTGCCTTTCTTGAGGGCGTTGAGTTTCTCTTTGCTCTCAGCCACAGTCTCCTTCAGCGCCGCTATCTCCTCCGCGCTCGTCTCCGCCTCGGCCGCGTCACTCTCACACACATCATCCTGCCCATAACCACACACACACACACACACACATCAACAGTATGTTGTGGTGTGTGTGTGCGCGGGGCAGTGCGATCGATCTTGCCTGCTTGGCGAGGAAGACTTTGGCTTTGCCGTATTCCTTCATGATGAGGTCGCCCGAGGTGGCGAGAGACTCCAGGATGCCGGGACACTTGCCCTTGGCCACGCGACCGTGCTGATCAGACACACAGACAACGACCACACCGTACCCAGCCAAGCCATCCTTCACACAGAAGGAATGTGTGTATGTGTGTGTGCAGAGGGGGTGCGTCGCGGCTGACGAGGTTGTCGAAGACGTTGATGGCACTGTAGGGGCGATTCTGAGTCTGATGGATGGACACACACACATATACGGTCAACGAGAACCATCCGTCCATGTGCTGTGCTGTTGTGCTGGTCAGGTCACCTGCATGTACTCGAGCACGGCTTTGTTGGCCGCATCGCCTGTGAGTGTGTCCTTCTTGCCGCCGCCGCCCTTGCCACCACCACCACCACCACCACCACCCGCCTTGGCCTTGGCCTTGCCCGCCGCACCGCCACCGCCGCCCCTGGCCTTGGCCTTCGCACCAACCTTCGGCTTGGCAGCATCTAGAGCCCAGAGCCACACAGGACAGGTCAAAGTTGCCGCATACATCCACACGCAGAGAGGAACGTTTTCGTGTGTGTCGGTCGACCTTTGGCCTTGGGAGTCTTCTTCTTCTTCTTGGCTGCGTAGATGACACCCCACACGACACACCACACACCACACAGGCGTCAATGTGCCGTTCATCCATCCATCCATCCATCCATTTGTGCGGTGTGTACGTTCGTCGTCTTCGAAGTCGCTCTCGTCCTTGCTGCTGTCCTCAAAGTCACTGTCGCCCTCACCACTATCGCTGTCTGGAGGGGATGCAGGGCACCAACACACAACACACCAAACACATGGATGGATGGATGGCTTGATGCGTGCCGTTGCTGACCCTCGGCAGATTTCTTGGGAGGGGCACGCTTTCGCTTCTGGCCTGATGGGGTGGGGTCGATGGGCACATACCATCCACAAAAGCATCACATCATTTTCGTGGCACACACTGCCATCCTGTCCTGGCGGCACATATAACATACCTCCCTGTGGTTGTGGATCAGCGGTCACTTTGCGATTGCCCTTCTTGCCCCCACACGTGTCCACATCCATCGCGTCACTCGTAGCCTCACTCATCGTCACGGACCGCGGGTAAAACCTGGCCGCTTTACTGCGAGCTTTTCCTCTTTTGAGGGCTTGGGAAAGCAGCAGCATCGATGGACCCCTTGTTTCTCTCCCCCAGCAGCCGCTCCGACACCAGCCATCCTGACGCACAAACATCGGCCTCGCTCGAGGAGGGCTCCCTGACCCCTGTCGACCGCAGCTGCGGAAAAGACCAAGATCCACAGCCTCTCGTCGGTGCCGCTGGTGCTAGTGGTGACGCAGAATCCATAGAAAAAGGGCAAGAGTCTGGTGTTGGTGGTAGTGGTGGGTTGACGACGTCAGCTGGGAGCGGTAGCAGCCTTTCCGTGAGCGCCAAGAGCAGCCACGTGGAGCAGGAGGACCACAGGGCCCCTCAGGTCCCTCACACAGCGAGGAGGGCGTCGAGCGGTGCACAGATAGAGAGAGAGATAGCCGCCGCAGACCGAGAGCAGGTCAACAAACAGGTCAGCCACGCCACCCACAGATCGACAGACAGAGCAGCTGATGACCATCTGTATGCCTGCTTCCTCACATAATGCGATCATGCAGGTCCCCGGTCGTCGCGCGAGTGACGGTTTCGTCACTCCCTCTCGCTCGGCAGACACACTCCGCGACACAGCGGCACCAGCTACAGCCCCTGAAACCACCATCGCCACCACCACCACCACCACCGCCGCCGCCACCGCCACCGCCACCGCAGGCCAGCAGCCTCAGGCCCCCGAGCACGCACACATTTCTCTCTCGCCCTCGCCCTCGCCCCCGCCTCACCACCAGAGGGGCAGCCGCTCGACGCTCTCACCCTCAGCCACACCCACCTCGCGTGAGAGGGCGCCTGTTGTGGAGCGAGGTTCGAAGACCCCTGAGCCGCGGGCAAGCCGAGACCATCACAAGATGGAGGAGGGCGAGGGCCGTTCGTCGTTTCTCAGTGGCTTCATGATGCGCTTCTCGCCGGGGCAGAAAAAGGCGGCAGAACAGACGCAGGAGCAGGAGCAGGAGCCGATGCCGGCAGCAGCCACGCCCCCGCCCGTAGCCCGCGGGAAGGCCAATAGCGACCATGGTGACGACCAGCAGCAGCAGCAGCAGCAGGAGGAGGAGAGTGGGGAGAGGGGCGAGAGTGGGGGTTTCTTTGCGGCGAGTCTGCTGTACACGCCCAACAAGAAGGCCGACGACGGTGCGGCCAGCCCACAGGCGGCCAGCACCGCGGTGCACCGCCCCTCTCACTCACCCGGCGTCATCGCACCAGCAGCACCACTAGAAGAACGTGATCATGAGCATGAGGGAGAGGGAGAGGGTGAGGGCGAGGGAGAGGGAGAGGGAGAGAGGGGTTCGGATGGCGTGCCCCTCACCCCTCCGCCCAAGAGCCCCTCTGCACCTTCGTCGACCTCGGGCGAGGGTATCGGCGTGGGTCTGGAGAGGAAGCACCAGCAGCAGCAGCAGCATCAGCAGCAGGTTCAGCAGGATCAGAAGATGAGCAGGGGGGACATGTCGCGGGTAGAGGAGATCCGGCGCAAGATGAGCGCCAGGCTGCAGGGGGGAGTGGGCAAGGAGGGGCTGTCGCGGGGGGGCTCAGGCTCGCTCAGCCTCGCAAAGCTGCCAGGTACGGTAGGCACACACCACACCCACCGCACACACACGTGGAAAACGCCACGCCACCATCTTAAGTGTGTCTGTCGTGGTGCATTGCGTCAGAGGTGGCGGCAGCGGCATCCTCCTCCCTCTCACCCGCCTCTGACGCCTTCGACTCACCCGAGTCACTGCAGTCGATGCAGTCGATCCCAGCCCACCACACACCCACACCCAAACCCGACCAGCCACACCCACACCCCCCGTCCCGCCCCCTCACCACCGTCACCCCCTCCCCGGCCAGCGCGGAGAGCGGCGGCATCGGAGGCATCGGAGGCATAGGCGGCATCGGAGAGAGCCCCTCTCGATTGACGATGTCGTATCGCGAGAAGCGGGAGCTGACCAAGTTGCAGGAGGAGAACGAGCGGTTGAGGAAGGGCATGGACGAGGAGAGATGTCGGAGGGAGGGGTGTGTGGGGGCGCTGAAGGAAGCGTGTCGACTGGTGGATGTGCTGCAGAGGGAGGTCCGGGAGGGGGAGACTGCCCGGGTGAGGGAGGGAGGGAGGGAGGGAGAGAGACAGAGAGGGAGAGAGGGAGGGAGGGAGGGAGGGTGTGCCGTCGCTGTGTGGTGTTCAGTGTGAGTTGGTGGGGGAGTGCCAGCATTTCAAGGACAGTAGCCAGCAGCTGCAGGGCCTCCTCGTCAAGGCCAGAGATGTACACCCCACACACCACACCACAACACACTACAACACCTGACACACACCTTCTCTCTCTCTTTGTTTAGCGTGAGCGGCAGCACCTGGACAACCTGGGCAACAGCCAGAAGACCGTAGAGGAGTGGCGCGCCAAACACCAGCATCTCTACGAGGACGTGCAGGTGCGTCAGCCCTCTTCCCCACCCTCTCCCTCTCCCCCCTCCCAACACACACACATCCATCCATCCATCCATGTGTGTGTGTGTGTGTGTGTGTGATGGACAGGAGAAGCTGAAGGTGACGATGGAGAACTACGAGCGGCAGAAGAAACTACTCAAAGAGAAGACGGCCAGCGAAGAGGTCCGTGGGATAAGGGCACCTGGTTGTGTAGGGATGGATGGATGCCTTTGTTTGTTGATGCGATGCAGGCCAAGGAGAGCGAGCTGCGGGTGCTGCAACACGAGTTTGAGAAGCAGGCTCAGCAGCTCGCCAAGGTCACACGCTCGCCCCCACCCCCTTCAAGGGCACACACAGGGATTGGACTCCCGTGTTGCGCTGTGTTGTGTTGTGTTGTTGTATCCTGCTACACCCCCACAACCACAACACAGGCTGAGGAGACCGCCCAGCAGGTCCCCGGCCTGCAGGAAGACCTCAAACAGAAGGACCAACAGGTGCAGTGAATCTCTCCATCCATCCATTTTGTGTGTGTGTCGGATATCCGTGTGTGTGTGCAGTTGAGCGGTCTGCGTATGGTGAATTTGAAGCTCGAGGATCGCAACGGGGAGCTGGAAACACACATCACGCAGTAAGTAAACAAAGCACGAACACACACACGTGGCCGCCAACGCGCAACACCCCCACACACATCCGCACACCCCTCTCTCTCTCTCTCTCTCTCTCTCTGTGTGTGTGTGTGTGTGTGTGGACAGGCTGCAGGCCTCAGTAGACGAGCTGCGGCAGCAGCTCAGCCAGCGGCCTGTCCAGCAGCAGCCTGACGGGTCATCGGCGTCGGTATCGCACTTGGAGGGCCACCACGTCGACTACAGCAAGCGCCGCATGTCGATGTTCACACCACATGCAGAGGGAGAGGTGGAGCACCAAGACACCACCACAGAGGGGTGAGCATAATGCCAGCGGGAAGGATGCCACCCAGGCGGCATGTGTGTGTGTGTGTGTGTGTGACGGCCACAGGGCGCCGAATGCCCGGACGCACCAACCTACCCTCTCCACACACAAAGGCACGCAACACACGCAAAGCACACGAGCCACATGCAGTCCCCAAGTACGGCGTTATGTGTGTGTCGAGCAGAGGATGACCAGGGAGGAGAGGGCAATGGCGGCGAGAGTGCCGCTGCTGCCGCTGCTGATAGTGGTAGCAGTGCTGCTGCTGCTGCTGTAGAGGAGCTGCGCAAACAGATGGCCGAGCAGCAGCAGCTGATCGACTCGCTGCGGGCCAAGGTCGAAGAGCGCGATACCGAACGTATGTTACCCACGACACACCGCACCGCAACACACACACACACACACACAAGGGACACACACACATCGTTCCATTGGTTGCTTGCAGTGGCGGCCGCGCAGCAGCGCTTCGAAGAAAAGGACGGCGAGTGCAACCAAATCACACAGGTCAGTCTGTCAGTCAGCTGCCCTGCCCTGCCCAACACCACACCACACCACACCACACCCCCTCCCCTCCCCGCCAGCCTGCAGGCAATGCATCTCATCTGTCTGGCGTGTGTGTCGTTCGTTCAGTATTGCCAGGAGCTCCTCGAGATGATGCCGACCATTGCGGACGGCGAGGCGTCGGAGGACTCGCCTGAGAGTGACCATGGCCACCAGCAGCCGCAGCCGAGGGAGAGGGAGAGGGAGAGGGAGAGAATGCAGGCGCGGCTGTCGGTCATGGCTGGGCGGCTCTCGATGGCGGCCAACGCCTCACACCAGAGCAGTTGATAGATAGACGTAGAGAGGGCGAGGTAGACAGACAGACTGACTGACTGACTGACAAGAGAGAGAGAGAGAGTGTGTGTAGACTTTGCACTGCAGCGTACGAGTGTGTAGGTGTGTGTGTGGGGGGGGGGGGG